TTATAATATAATTATCTGATATACAGGATATCTCCTGTATGACCTCCAAAGGGGTCATGGCCCAGAGGTTGAGAACTGCTGACTATAGAAACTTCCACAGTGATTTGAGGTTGCTGAGATATTTGTGCTATGTGTTATAAAAATGGCCATCTGCAGCAGATTAAAGGAAAAACAACTAGTAATTCCTCACAGGTAGTCTGGCAAACTAGTTGTACAAATCACCAATCAATATCCAATCACTCAAATATTTTCTTCCTCCTTTTTGTTTTGTTAGCAGCACTGGGGATGGAACCTTGGGACCTGATACATCTTTTAAGTATTTTTAATAGGCATTTTTTTCCACACTTACTTCCTTCTTCTAAAGCTAGCAAATAATCATATCAATTTTTTAAAAGCTCTTTTCACTAATGGCGCAAATAGTGTGTCTTTATTATAACAATATGGGTATACCAGAGGCTTTGTGTCTTAAAAAATCAAGGTGATCTTCACATATCAGAGCCAATTGCTGCTGACACTGATAAATTTCTCCCATTCTTCTCATGCTTATGCGTGTGGTTTTTTAATAAAAGTGTGATACTGTATACCTACAGTTATGAGCATGTCACTGAGTGTCCTCTTACAAATATCTGCTGCTGAACTGTCGTGTGTGTGTGTGTGTGTGTGTGTGTGTGTGTGTGTGTGTGTGTGTGCGCGCGCGCGCGCATGTGTATGTGTGCATGGTGGGGGACATCTCTGGTTGTGTCTCTGAGCATTTAAGGTATATTCCCAGGAGCAGAAATACTGGGTCAGAATGTGTGCCTGTTTTAAGGTTTTGACAGATGCTTTAGGAAATGCTGACCCAGATTCCAGCCGCCATCACCGCAGACCTGTCTCACTGCCTGAGTGCTCAGGAGACTGGTACCGGCAGGGCAGGAGGATGCTGACAGAGTCGCGAAGAACAGGGACTACCTAGGTAGAAAATGATAGGAGTACAAGACAATTGGAGGGCATAGGAAGTGGCCTGTGAATGAAGTAGGACATTAGTACAAACTAGAAAAGATGGGAACATTGGACTAAAATCCAGTTTGGAGCACTGAAAGCCAATTTAGACTGGTTCTGAGAGAACCATTAGAAGATTTTTGAGCAAGGAAATGAGAGCCCAGGGCTTTGCCATTGGGAAACTGAGAATGTGCACTAGACTGCCTTGGGCTACACACGTGTGACACCCTCTGTGCCCCCTCCCCTCATTAGTACTTGCATTATCCCTTCTGCCTGAACGTGGCTTTTCTGCTCCCTCCTGAGTCTGCTTGTCTGTCAAGGACTGTTTCCAGATATTACCCTGATTCCCCTGGAGCTCTCTGACAGGGCATGTCATATTCCCTTTGTTTTAATGATTTGATATACTACTGTTCCCTGGCTCTGAGTTCCCATTTCTGAATCCTTAGGTGCTCACTGTGTATGGGACATAGCAGGTACTGATAAACATTTGTCAAAGGACTCCCAAGTACTGTCTGTGTGTTCTTATACCTTAGACCAAGGAATGCATGTTCTAGTTCAATAAGATGTTAGATGTCTAAGCTGCCTTTATTTCAGAGCCAACATGGGTGCCCCACAGAGCCATGTCCCTCCTCCCTTCATGCCCCAAGGATTTGGAGTTGCAAATGCTCAGAAAGTATGCACATTCCCCTAACCCCTCAGACAGTTAAGGGCTCAATCCCAGAGGTGTTGGCAAGCCATAGTTATGTATACAAACTTACCCAAAATATTAATAAGGAAACCAAAAAAATTGGTGACAATTTCTACAGTAGGGTTTGCAGATGATCTGTGTCGATAAAGAGAGTTTCGTTCTTAAAACTTAAGGACAAGACTTAAATCTCTCCAGAACTGTTTTAAAATGCATACACACTCGTTTCTAGTCTCTGTCCTGTGTTTCTATTTGTTGTTAAGTACAACAATCCTGTATAATACATTGTTCTTCAAACGCTGAAAACCTTATAGGCCAACCTTCAGAGCCCAACTTTCATCTTCATGCCCCAGAGTTTTTAAAGTTTTTGGAGTAGAGTCCTTTAAAATGTGCTTGAATATTAAAATTTAGTATTCCTCAATTATTTACTATTATGGCTGCTACTTCATAAAATAACCACACAGGACAGTTCCAACCAGTGGCAAGTGCTATGAAGAAGAACCTCACTGGAAGAATAATGCATGGACCTGAAAATCACTGCTGTAGACAACCATCGGATGTGGCCTCTTGAGCAAGTGCTAGAGCTTTTATCATGGTGATTTAGCCTTGCACCTAAACACGCCAGTCTCTGACATTGTTGGTGCAAAGGTCCTGAGGTCGAAGGTCAGTGTGTTTTGGGTCCAGTAACCCATGGAAAGGTGGAAAGGCAGATGGGGCAGATTGTGGAGGCTCGGGAGATGACTGGCTAGCTTTTATGAGATTGTTAGAGCATGTTATTGCCCTGGGCATTCTTAAGAGGAAAGTGGTTTGAAGACAACAGTGCCAGCCAGGGTTTCCTTCCCTCTACCTTATCCCCTGCTCACAAAGAGCTGCCTGTGTCTCTCATCATTGTAGCCCATTGACTCTCAATTCCACCTTTTCTGAGCCTGTTTTGTGTATCAGCCCCAGATCAATCCAAGTTGAGATAGACACATGCCTTCTCCTCCCCCTTGGGCCTTTTCCTTTTAGGAAGTGCCTGCCATCTGCTAGCCCTGTGTGGGAGGACAAACTGCTTTGTCCTTAATTATCAACATGGTCTCCTCTGGGAAATCTATTCCCTGGGAGGGACTTTGCATTCTCTTTAGCTCTCCAGCAAATCACCTGTTCATAACTCCAAAGTGTGGTAAGCCTATCACCTTTCACCTTGCCTGAGTCTTGTCTCCTGTCCTCTTGCTGCATAGGCTAACCAACTTAGACAGTGGAGAACGTCTAGCTTCTCCTGTCTGTTTCCATCTCCTGGTAGGGGCACGTTGGCATTACAGACCTGTTGGAACTACTGAGTTTATATGGGCTGGGGCTTCGAATTCAGACTGGGTTTGTGAGGGAAGCTCTCCACTCACTGAGTCACCCCCCAGTGCTTGCTCCCCTGCTGATGAGATTGCTCTTAATATGTGCTGTGGTAGCACTCAGGACATGGGTTTTCAGGACTTGGTTTTTCCCTTGATTGTATCACTTGGAAATAATTCCAAGACAAAATATGGTTGTCATTCAAAAAGTACTCAACGCCTTAAAAACACATTTATGGTGAAGATTCAAGGGAGTACAAGATGGAAGGCACAGTTCCCCAAACCTTTTATACCCGAGGCTATTGCTATTAGTGTCTGCATGTATTCATAAATCTTAATATGTTCGGAAACACCCTGTTACCTTGCAGGTTAAAGTGTATGCATTATATAGCATTTGAACTTTTTAAATTTACATATTTGGATGTCTTGTTCTGTTTAATGGATTCATAATATTCTCTTGCATGAACCTGATATAATTTATTTCAGTATTTCCCTTATTGATGGACTCTGTTTTTCTGTTTTAAAAGCCCTAATCCCTAAAGCTCTTGAGTTGCCATTAACTTCAATTATGTTAAACATTTACAGAGTGACTCCTCTGTTTCTGGCACTAGACAAAGTACACTAGGCCATGTGCTTGAGTTGTCACTATCTGACAGAGATGCAGGCCTAAGGAACAGGACTGCACATGTGCCAGGACAGAGAGGTGGATGCCTGGGTGTCGGTTCAGTATTACCAAGTCAACTGAAGGAGGTGACAGAGAATTTGAAGTCGGACTTTAAACAATGCTTGAGGGCTTAGCAGAGACTGATCACCAAGACTGATGACTTGAGTTCAATTTCAGTGCCAGGAACCTTCATGTTAGAAAGACAGAACTGACTCCCCGAAACTGTCCCCAGACTCCACACATGCACTGTGACACAAATTACCGCTCCCACAAATAATAAATAAATGAAAGAAAACAGAACATAAAACTTTTAACTTATAAAAAAAAAGATAATGAAATTTCCTAAGGACCAAAGAAGAAACAATCATTCATATTTTTTTTGGTGGTTGGTGTTTATTTTTGAGGTTATAATATAATTACAGCATGTCTCCTGTCCCTTTCCTCCCTCCGAAACCCACCTCTATAAACTCTTTCCCATTCTCCCATTCTCCTTCAAATTCTTGGCTTCTTTTTTCACTAATTGTTATTGCATGCTTATATGTATTTTCATGCGCATATATATTCTAAAATGTAACCTGTTGAATGAGTATATATATATATATAAAGCATGCTCGTATGCATGTTTTCAGAGCTGGCCATTTGGCATCTGGCAATCAACTGGTGTACTCTTCCCTGGGTAAGACCACCTCTCCCACTCCTAGCTCTACTTGGTTGCCTGTGTTTTTTTGCGTAGGGTTGAGGCTTCATGGGCTTTTCCCCATCCAGTTTGGTCTGTTCATTGGTGTCCTTGTTCAGCTCACATTTGGTCGGTCATGTTGGTGAGACTTTATGGCTGTAGCTTCTGATGCTATAAGGAGACACAGCCTCACAGCAAACTTTCTGAGCCTCTGGCTCTTAAAATCTTTCTGGTCTCTGTTCTGCAATGTTCCTTGGGCCTTAGGTGTGGGAGTGTTTTGTTGATGTGTCCACTGGGATTGGACTCCACAACTCTGCATTTTGATTGGTTGTTTTCTGAAGTGGTTTCTGTCTGCTGCAAAGAAAAGTTTCAAACATAGTCACTTCTGAGGAAAAGGAATTCCGTACAAAGAATGGCCATCAGCTGGACTGGCCAGAGAGTGTTTCAGGGAACAGTGGCTGGAGCTGCACTTTTGTACATAGCTGGCCTCAGGAAGCATTCAGCAAATGGATGGAAGGACACGGGTTCTTTGCCCAGTTAGGTGCCAGACCTCCCTGTTTCCTGTAGAGTCCACACGTTGCCAAAAAGCACAGGAAATGCTCTTTTGCATTGGTTTGATTTTTCAAAGTTTTTTTGTCCGTCATACTCAACCATGACATATCTTCCTTTCAGAGTTTAGAAACATCAAGAAATAGAAGAGAACTCAATCATGGCACCAAGGAAGAGAGGTGGACGAGGGATTTCGTTTATCTTTTGTTGTTTCCGAAACAATGACCACCCAGAAATCACATATCGGCTTCGGAATGATAGCAACTTTGCACTTCAGACCATGGAGCCTGCGCTGCCCATGCCCCCTGTGGAGGAACTGGACGTCATGTTCAGTGAACTTGTGGTGAGTCCCGGATGTCCATGCTGTCATTCTTGATAAACCAGGGGAGAAGAGGAAAGGCGATGGCTGGGTTGGCTTGGCTGTATCTGAGTTCTTTACTGTCCTCACTGAACTGTGGGAAGTGTGTGTGTGTGTGTGTGTGTGTGTGTGTGTGTGTGTGTGTGTGTGTGTGGTGGGTATTAAAAAGGGTAGTGTGACTCTACCTCCAAGGGTTTTTTTTATTGGTGCTTCAAATAGGCAAAGGGATTTCAATGTTTGGGTGTTCAAATAGTGGTAGGTACTGTATTCTAACTTGCTTTTTCTAATTCATCCTCATTCTTGCTCAGGTCTGCACTTAAGTGTGTAAGTCCTGCATCTGCATCACCCCTTCTGGGATGCCTTTGTGCTCCCCCATTCCTCCCCCAATGTGCAGTGTTAGCGCTATTTGAAAATCAGTCCTGCTTCCCAACTCGCCTTTGAACTTCGGCGAAAGGCATTAGTACTCAAGTGCAGTGCCATTATTTAGACTAATGATGGGATTGGAGTGACAGCTGCTGTGGGAACCCTTTTATGGATGCCATCACACTGGAGAGGTCACTATCCTCAGATGGGATGGTGTAGACCGTGCAGGACCTGCTCATCAAGAGGACTGTTTACCTTTATGGCATAGTTTAAAGAGAGCTTGTATAGGGGTCAGCAACAGTGCTTCAGGTCACTACCCTGAATTTGCCTACTTAAGTATAGATGGTCATGTTATTTTTCTGATCCCAGTTTCTGAAAAGTATAGCGGAAATACCTCCTCTCAGGATTGCTGCAGTGTTTGAGCCAGAGCAGGCCATAGGGAGTGGGGTCTGGTGCCTGACCCTTCAAGGTGTTCAGTGAAGTCACAGCAGTGCTGTATCTTCCTTTCATCACGGCCAGCATTTCCTAGTGGAGTTTGTTGTCACTGGACCATGGCATTGTGTGGCAGAAGCTAGACTGGTCTTTTGCTTGATTCTTAGGACAGAAAGTAGGCAGTGTCACTGCCTGCCACAGTGTTGTTCCAGCTACAGATGAGAATTCAGAAATGGAAAGATGAGCCAGCGAGAGTCTGTGGAGCTGAGGTTTGCATTTTGATCTCTCGAGGGGGAAAATGAGCCTATTTTTGAGCAGAGTTGATTAGGATAAAAAGAGATAGCTTATGATTGCATGTTTATATTTTGTGATACTGAAGATTTTATCCCTTCTCCATTCTCTCTCCTATGAAGAACTTTATTTTAGATCTCAAACTAAAAAGCTAATCCAGCTGTGATGGGACATGCCTTCAATCCCAGCACTTGAGAAACGGAAATGGGAAGACTGGGGATTTAAGGTCATCTTCGGTTCCCTAGTGAGCTTAAGGCCAACCTGGGCTATACACACGCACACAGGTGACTCAGGATATGGTTCAGTTGGTGGGGTTCCTGCCTAGCATACAAGATTCCCCAATGTGTGACTCATCACTGTAATGAACCTGACACAGCAGCTTAAGGAAAGAAGAGTCTCTTTGGCTTTGGTCCATAGTGACAGGAAGGCGTGGCAGCAGGAGTGTGGCACAACCATTAGTCACACGTGTCTGACTTCAGGAAGCAGAGACAGATGAGTGTGGCCTCCTTGGTGTCTGCCCATGGAATGCTGCTGCCCCCATTCAGGGTGGGCCTTGCCTGCTCAGTTAAATCTTCCTGAAAACACCCTCAGACTTACCCAGACTTGTATGTCCATGGTGTGTCTAAATCTTGATGAGATGACAATGAAGATTAAGGATGACACCTGGATTCAGTCCCTAGCACTACATAAACTGAGCATGGTGACTCAAGAGGCCCAGAAATTCGAGGTTATCCTAGGCTCCATAGCAAGTTGGGGGCCACCCTGGGATATATGAAACCCTGTCTCAAACAAAACAAATCATACTCACACAAAGAAAGTCAGACTTGGCCTTCAAAAGTGTGATGAGTTGGGTTGCTGATAGCAGCATAGGGGATCATCACGAGGTTCTAACATCACCAAAGGTACAAGCATAAAATTCCCCTGCAGGGATAATGAGTATACTTGTTGTGGGAATATGTTGAGGGATGTGGTCAGGGAAGGCTTTCAGAGGGCCGGGAGGAAGGGCAGGAGGTCATCTTAATGGCTGTCCAGCCTCTCCAGCTGACTTCTCCTGTATCAGTGAAACCAGCCTCGTCCGCTTGAGAACGTGGAGTTAGAAAGTGTCATTCTTTTGTAGGGGTTGGCACCACTAGTCACGTGGCCAAGGCTGAGGGCATTGAGATGGCGGGGCGGGGCGCTGTGAATCATGTGCCATGGTGGCTGTGGAGAAGGGCAGTAATGGTGCCTTTATGGCTTGCTTTTATTTCCTGCTCAACGTGCTTTACAATCAAACTTGTACCTGAGGAGAGGCGTGCCACTGTGGAGCCGGGGAAGAGCTGGTATCCCCACATCTTCCGCATCTGTGCTCCCTCCAGCACAGACAGGTACTCTGTCAGATTCCTGAATTGAAGCCTGCCCAGGAGCTGGCGGTGGCAGCTCCATGTACATCTTGAAGAGTGCTTGTTACTTTGCATTCAAGGGGGAGAAAAATTCTACTTTCTGCTTATTGATGTCTCTATTGTGTGTGAGAAAATTGCCTACAGCTGCTAGTTGTTAAAAAAAACAATGCCAAACCAGAACTTTAAGCCAAAACCATTGGAAAACAAATTATCTTGAGGTTTGTGTCTGTCCTGGTGAGTGACGATGGATTTTTGTCTACCTCTGACTTTAGGGACTTAGACCACAAATCCTTCCAATTGCCAGGGGAGGCCTGAGGCTAGAGAGGTGGGATCAAAGTGCTGGAAGCTTCTTCTCTGGGCTCTTCCAAGCAGTTGTAGAAGTAATCCTGCTGTGTCTTTGTACTGGGAAGGGACTCATGGCAGAGAGGGCCTGTCTCCTCAGTCAACAATCTGGCTGCCTTCAATAGAGGGGAATTTCTTTCAAGGCTGGTTTGGTTTGAATTTGGCCTTGATTCCTTTTTCTGTACTCTGGGGATTCACACCTTCTCAGAGAGTTGATGTCAAGATTAAAGAAAATAATTTAAAAAACAACAAAAACCAAACACAAAATTCTGGCATCTATCAGAACCTGGTATTACAGGCCTGAATTCTCAGCTACTTGGGAGGTTAGGACAGGAGGATCATAAGTTCAAAGCCAGCCTCAGCAACTTAATGAGACCATGTCTTAAAATAAAAACGCAAATTGAATGCTTTGTATTTAGCTCAATCCTACAGATTAGCATGTGTGAAGGCTTAGATTCAATTTCCAGTACAGAAAGAAAGAAAGAAAAAAGGGCAGAAGGAGAGAGGGAAAGAGGGAAGGAGGGATGGAGGGCAGGCGGGTTGGCACCTAGGAGGTGCAGTATAGTCTACAGCCAAGTGCAGCAGTAGTGATGGGAGGTGATTCAGGTTCTTTCTGAGGACAAAACTCTCAGCATATTCAGTTTTCCCCTTTCTGGGAAACTAATCTGCTTGCTGTGAGCCCTGTCCAGCTGGCCCCTCTCGCACTGCATCTGCTGGCAAGCGGCGTATCAGAGCGGGTCCTTGCCAGGCCTGCTTCCCTTATCCTGTTTGATGAGTCACTCTGCTGTTTTTAAAAGTGATACCAAATGACGTTCCTTCAGAAGCATGTATTACAACCATATCATCTCTTTAATAAAACAAACCCGGAAGGAGGGTGAGCATTTGAATCTTTAAAGAAACAGCCAGAAAGGCGTGCCTTGTCCTACAGTCTCCCTGACACAAACAGAGCAATTAGAATTGGAGGCACTTGGCCACATCTTTTTTTTTCTTTTTTTCTTTTTTTTAATGATGTCAGGGATCAAAGCCAGGGCTTTGCATTTGCTAGACAAGGGATGTTGCTGAGTTATGTCAGGCTACCTACAGCTCTTAAACTCACATAACACATTTACCTGTTCACCACGTTCATCAATGCAAAACACAGTTCTGTGGCCTTTAGTATATCCATAAAACTGCAACCGCCACCAAAATCAATGTAGGCATTTTTTGCTGCCCTTAAAATAATCCTCATATCCATTGGTCATCACTTCCTTTCTATCCAGAGTCCCACCGTCCCCTGGCAGCCCCTAAACTACCTTATGTCTCAGAAAACTTGCTTTTCTCAGACAGTTTGAACAAATGGAATCATAGCATGTAGACCTTAGTAACTGGTGTCCTTTATGTAATATCAAATTTCTCCATTGTATGGATGCTAATTCTTCATTTCTAATTACTGCCAAATAACATTCTATCATAGAGATATTTTAGGAATCTTTCAACATTGATGCATATTTTAGAATTTTATTTTTATATTTTGCCAGTTAAGGATATTGTCAAGAATGCTGCTATAAACATGCATATGGAAGGTTTTACATATAAATATGCTTGTGGCTCTCACGGGTAAAAACATACTAGCAAAAGTGCTGGGACCTCAGAGAACGCTGAGGTTAACTTTGAGAGCTGTCAGACTGTTCTAAAGTGGCTACCCTGGCTCTCATTTCCACCAGCAACCTATGAAGTCTGCAGTTTCTTTTTTAAATTATTTGTTTACTTGTGTGTGTGCGTGCATGTGTGTGTGTGATGTGTATATGTGGGCACAGATGCCACACACATGACAGTCACAAGACAACTATATAAAGTTAGTTTTCACCTTTGTGTGACTTCTAGGAATTGAGTCTAGGCCATCAGGCATGTGCAGCAAGAGCCTTTACCTTGCTGAGCCATTTTGCCTGATATATAGATATAGATATAGATGTAGATATAGATAGATGGCAAAGTATATCCCAATTTCTTTACATCTTTGCCAACACTTGTGTTCATCCATCCTTCCCACCTGCTCTTCAGTATGTTCTATTCTACAGTGTATATGTGTGTTATCTAAGATAAGGGTTCCTGGTCATTTCTAACTGCTTTGGATTATTACAACTAAATCATGTATCTGATCAGTTACTGACAACTGTGTATTTTATGCCATTTGACATA